AATATTTTAAAAAAAAAAAAAAAACGAAGTTAGCACCTGTTTATTTGTATTCCCACTAACAAAAAGTGCTTTTTTTTTGGACATCAAATAATGTTGTAATGTGTTGTATTTACACGGTGTACCATGTAGATCATATGATACCAGTGTTGCCAGATCCCACTAAAAAGCATCTGTTTGGACCAAAAATGTTTGTGCTATGTATAAATAACCTGACAGTACTCTTGAAAAAGGCTCTAAATAAACATATGCAACTGACTATATGTGACCCTGGAGCACAAAAGCAGTCTTAAGTCGCTGGGGTATATTTGTAGCAATAGACAACAAATCAGTCTGAACGAGTCGTCCACGGCAGAATCTGTCCGAGCGGTTCTCGAGTCCAATGGATCAGTGGCGAAAACCGTTGCTGTTTTTGAAATATCACATATTATTTCTGCCTTATAGCGGACTGGAATATGCCTTAGGCTTAGACTGTTTATAGTTTATCTTTATGTGGCTTAAATTATATAAGTAGGCAGCAGGCCTGGCTATTCTAAATAACGTTGTTTTAATAAGCTTGGTTAAAAATGCAGTAAACAACCTTATTAATAAACAAAAACGTAATATAAAACGTAATATACTTTAAAAAGCATACACTGTACTTTCTGTGAAAACTAAATGAATCAACTTGGCATTCTACTTATTGAGAGACACAGAATAGATTTTTTTTTTTTCAATTAAAATATTCAGTGTTCACTTTTACTTTTTGGCTACACTGAATATTCTAAAGAGGATGAAAAGTGTATTTAACTGATTTACTCATATGTGACCCTGGACCACAAAACCAGTCATAAATAGCATGGATATATTTGTAGCAAGCCAACAATGCATTATGGGTCAAAATGATCAGTTTTTCTTTTATGCCAAAAATCATTAGGATATTAAGTAAAGATCATGTTCCATGAAGATTTTTTCTTTGTAAATTTCCTACCGTAAACATATCAAAACTTACGTTTTGATTAGTAATATGCATTTCTAAGGACTTAATTTGGACAACTTTAAAGATGATTTTCTCAATATTTTTATTTTTTATGCACCCTCAGATTCCAGATTTTCAAATAATTGTATTTCAGCCAAATATTGTATACATCAATGGAAAGCTTATTTATTCAGCGTTCAGATGATGCATACATCTCAATTTCAATAAACTGACCCTCATGACTGGTTTTGTCCTC